CAGTACATTCTCATTTCTTTTTTTAATAATTTGACTATCATTAGTGTATTTTTGTTTTAAAGTAATTTACTTTACTCACCAGCACTCCCCCAATTCATTCATTTTCGATGCAAATAAAATTAATTCCTTTCTATTTGATTTTTTGAATATTAATTTAGGAAATTTATATATTTATGGATTTGAAATGGATATTCATGCAGTTAGTAGTTGTTTTCATTTAGCCCAGACTTTTCTTATACTCTTAAGTCATGCTTTACATTTTTGGGGGGTTATATATACCTTACAGGTGGCTACTTTTCTTTATTATGACCAGTAGCATGCTGATACTGTTGTGATGACAAAAATCACCTCTTTCTTGGAATATATGACACAAAGTCTTTGCTAAACATCTTTTCATGCTGTTGAGATCATTCTAATGGTAGGTATGGTCTATTAGTGCTAGGTGGCAACCTATAGGACAGGACCATTATGAGTTGATATAGGTGAGGCCATCTCATGGAAATGACATGCTGTGGAGGATTTATTCTTTATTTAGAGACCTTTGACACTATGACATCCTCTCTATGACCCCATAGCTTGAGACCATTGTGTGTGACTGGAACACTCAGGTGAAACTCAACTGTATGGATATCTATATTCTTATTCTATTAGTTGCTGTCAACATTGAGTCTATCAGCCTGTTAAATTTCCTCCTCTTAATGATTCTGTGTAGTCATTTTATCTGATTAGAAATCTTGCAGCTTGGAAAGAAGGTTCTAATCTCTCTACCTGAATATTTTACATGATTGTGTTATTCTGTTCTTTGTTCTCTACATATCATGCATCTAAGCTTAGTGACACCTTATCCATTGAAAAATTGATGGCTATGTTTTGTAACATGATATCTCCTGTTTTAAGCCTATTAATTTGTACCCTCAAAAACACATAGGTGAAAAATATTATTGAGAAAGCCCTATGTTAAATGCTGATTTTGGGGGAAAGACCCAAACATAAGAAAATTTTATTTTTTACATGTTAGAGATGAAATATTATTATATCTTAGGTAGGGCCTAGTGAGTACTATGTGTTAAAGAATATTGATACTGATATATAAGCCCTTTGAGAAAAGGTTCATATGAGAACTATTATCATGATAGAAATACCTCATTTATTTATTTCCCACTTAGATGTTAATATTTGATAAATGTTCAGAATTAGGCTTCCAATTTGAGAATGGTCAGTACAAAGCTCTAGAGATTCTAATTCAGAAGGACTATTTCTGGATTGACATATCTGTCTTTTAAAATTTGCCCATTATTACAAAGTGGGTGACCTTTTCAAATGCTTAAAGCAATAATTCTATAAATTGTAGTGACAATCTGAGTTAGTTAATTCTCTTGTTTAGACATTTTCTGTGATGGGTTTTTTACAGCAGAAGCTATGAAGACTATGAAATTCTCAATATTCAGAATTCATACAAAGCAATCTCACTGCCTTTGCAACCCTAAAAGAAAAATAAAACATACTTTAGGAAAATAGGAATATTTTAGACATTTATTTTCAAATTTTTTCTTATTGTAGTTTCTAGCATTATGATATATGTAGTCAGATTAATTTACTTTTTCTTTCTCCTGAAGAAAAGTCTATGTTCTATGTTTGCTATATTGTGCAGAAACTTCAAAAAATTCATGGGAAAACAGAAGTAAAGTATGTGTTTATTTTTGTACAAAAATGTTTTAAAATCCATGCATCACATTTTCATAAGGCATATTTTCCTTGAACTTGTGGAAGATGCCTTGTGGTGGGTTAAAATTCAATATTATTGAATCCTTACTTAGAAATTAAATTTAGCCTTATTTCTAAATTTTTTATTGGTTAGTGAAGATTTTATGCATCATTTACTATATTCACAGTTTTGGAATGGCTGATAAGTTAGAAAGCCACGTGTCTAATATATAAATATGTTAGAAAGTCTTTGTATTCATTCCTCGGTATCATGTCATATTGTAATTTTTTTCCTATAAACAAAACATAAAGTGGGTATTTTAAGTGAAATATCCTATTATAATGTAGAGATAGATTTCAAGGGGGTTTTTTTCTCAGTAGTCTGAAAGAAATTCAGCATGAAATGATGAGATGTTCCCATCGTATGGCGGTGGGAGATGATAGCAAAGATGAAATGAGTAGTTTGATTTCACAGCAGCATCCGGAACTGCCAAATCGTTTGATCTTTTTGCCTGGCGACATTAAAAACAAAAAACAAGAGCAATGTATATATACTATGAAAACTTTTGAATAAAAATTTTAAAAATTTAGTTAATGAACTGAACTATAATTTTTTTTTGGGGGGGGGAGAGATTTTCACTGTAGGGTGCGTGCGCTCGCCAGACAGACAGAGAGAGACATAGAGACAGAAAGCGAGAAATCACCCCCCAGGGGGGATGGTCACGCCGCAATCCCTTCTCCTCCATTCTCCTCTCGGGATCTTGGGCACGCACGCACATGCACCTGGCGTGAGTTTTAAGCCACCGGGTCCAGGACACGAACCGCGGTCAACTACGTGGGAGTCCAGCGACATAGCCATTACGCTAACTGCTGGTTCCCATGAACTATAATTTTTTAAGTTTAGTTTATTTACTATAATTTTTAGGAAGTGTTTAGTGCTTTAGCACAGTGTACATAAATATTTGAGCCCTTGACATATTTTTCTGGTTAGAACTGAGCTATGGTGGTGTCGGGGAACGCCGTGGCTATAGGCTCGGTGCTTGGGAATGCATGTCTGACTTGCCTTACTTTAATTAAATTAAATTAGTAGGATGCCACAAACTTACTATTTTGTAAGTGGTGTCCTTTGTGAATTTAAGCAAGATAACAGTATGATTTAAATCATCATTAAAATTAAATAAACAGAATTATAGTCTTCATTTCATATTATATTTCAGTCTAGTTTTATTAAAATGACATAAAGCAATAATTTATCATTAAAAATACTTTCATTGATTTCAAACTCACCAAAGTAGTCAACAAAAATCCCTTTGCTTTATAGTCATGTATATATTCTTTGACCTTCATTCTCAGTATCCATACCTGAAAGCAGTTTAATTATTATTTTGCTCAACCACAAGAGTTGAAGAGTTCTCAACATATTTTATGAGGTTATTCTGTCAGTGCCCATGGTGGATAGTCAGCCATCTCAAGTCGGATGCACTGTGACTTTTAGAACATTTCCCATTCTCTGGGATATTTGACATAGTTTATTTGAGAATGTGCTCTCTGGATAGGGTTGTATTTGGTTTTACACACTTTTGTGCAAATTGGTTATCTTATGAAGATTTGTTTTGTTTTTAGAAGATACCCCTTTAGATATATAAACAGAAAAAAGGGAGTGGAACTTTGTCCTTAAACAAGTGAAATATCAGTTGCTAAATTATGTGGAGTAACTCTACATTCCCCATGTGCCCAGGACAGTCCTGGCTTGGGTCTCTCGTCCCAGAGAAGTTATTGGCAGTCCTCCCTTTTCACTTTGCGAATATTCAGACTTGGGTGGCAATGCATATGGTCACTATAGATGAGAAGTCCCTCTTTTCTTACAAAGCATGATAGTTAAGGTGGCTAGATCCCACATGGCCAAATGTGTAGTTCAAATCCTGGATCTGGTGTCCTAAAAACATACTGTGTGTTTGTGTGTGTAGATGCTCAAAGTCCCAAAAGGAGGGATTGATGAAGGGGAAAGGATTGCGGTGTGACCATTCTCCCTTGAGGGATATTTTCTAACTCCTCATCCTCCCTTTACCCCTGTCTCTGGGGAGTACACACACACACACACACACACACACACACTGACAAAAATTAAAAATAATAATAATAATAAAGTTGTAAGAATCTAATCTCCATGTTATGTATTGTCATTTGTATTGATGCCTAAATACAATTTTAACTCATTTAAAATTTGAATTTAAAATAAATCTGTTTTCAAGACCAGCAGATGGCATAATGGTTACATCACTGGACTTGCACATCATCAACTATGGTTTCAGTTCATGACCTGGCAGCTGAAAACTCACACCAGGCGTGTGTGCATGTGTGCCCAAAATCCCGAGGGGACAATGGAGGACAGGAGATTGCAGCATGCCTATCCCTGCAGTGTGGTGGGGGGGGTGATTTCTCATGTTTGTCTTTCTCTCTCTGTCTCTGTCTCTCCAGTAAGCATAAGTGCCCTGTAGCAAAAATCTTTCTTTAAAAAATTAAATAAATTTGTTTTCCCCTAAGATACAAGATTGTTTTGCAGCTCCCATTTTTGTTGGAGCCACTTAAAAACATGCATTAGGAAGCCAGGTGGCATTCTAATTTGTGCTTGTCTCATACTGCAAGAGAGAAGAACCCTCCACTTACCGCGGTTGGCAGCAGACTGCAGAGGAGGGTTATCTTTCGTCTGCACTTTCCCTTACACATTCCCCTGGTTCTGTGAGCTTCAATTGTTTTTAATGGAAACGTCTCATCTCCTTGTTTTAGCAAGTTTTGCTGAAATATTGACTTTTTTGGATGCTATGAATCACTCTTATATTCTGGTTGCAATAGAAAATGCTATCACAATAAAAATGCTGTTCAGTCTACAAAGATTAACATACTTTTGAGTGTCTTGATTCTAAGTACACATTTTAAAGGTATTTGATGTGTTCGTTTTAACTTTTTAATATTTTGCAACTGCTAAGAACATTTTAACACAAAATCTAAAATAGTTATTCAACTGGAAGGTGAGAGCATAACAACCTTGTCTTCTTTATTTTTCTCCGTAACTTGTGGAATTTGTGTTATTTATAACTAGTTGATTGGTCAGGAATGAATGCGACTGATTAAACATACATAGGATAGTGTATGTAGTGTTCTCTTACACATGTCTTCTATGCCGTGTTTAGTTGGATTTTAGACTTCTTCCTTCAGGGCTCAGAGCATCTGACTATTTCAGAATTTATTATTGAAACTGTAAATGGACCTTCATTTGTCATAATCCTCCACTTTAGAAATCATACCGCTGTATGGAATGTCAAGCTACATTACCCGAGAAGACCAGTACAGCAAGCCTCCGCACAAGAAGCTGAAAGACCGCCAGACCGACCGCCAGAACCGTCTCAATAGCCCTCCCTCTTCCGTGTACAAAGGCAGCTGCACGACAGTGTACAATGGCTACGGAAAGGCTCACGGAGGCGGCAGCGGCGGAGGTGGGGGAGGCGGCAGCGGCGGAGGGCCGGGAATGAAGAAAGCAGAGCGGCGAGCAAGAAGCAGTCCGAAGTCCAACGACTCCGACTTGCAAGGTAACGTTAATGTGCTGGCATAAGGGGTGCATTGTGGAGACTGGGACGCCCCGGAAGAAAGCTCTCGTGCACAGGACGGGTATTTCGCCCTGGTTGGGTGTTCTGCTAGGAACGATTGCACGGCACTGTGACCTGTTTCATAGTAAGGAAAGCATATCATTTCTTCTTTTCTTCCTATGTCAAGCAAGAAATAGTACTTGTGGGTCACATTCGTTGTGGAACATTCCGTCTAATCTCAGTGCAAGGACCTGAACGTTTTCATGCTAGCTTACCCTGCCGAAGTTGTTTCCCTTTGAGCACACAGATGGGGAAGAAATCCAAAGCAGGACAGTCTCTCTAAGTATGGGCTTCACTTAAATCTCCAAATAATTATACCTGTAAAAGCAGACGTGGTTCCTTCTGCACCGTAGTGAGGTCTGCCGCGGCATCACAGGAGTGTCGGTTTGGTTGTAGGCGTTAGTCATTGCCTGATGCCACGTTGTGCGACCCGAATGCAGTATTCCCAGACCAAGAATGAAACGGGAAGCAGGGTCACCACGTACCGACAGACACCACGCAGAAGGGTGTGCCTTTTCGGTTGAGTCATCTTGAGACCTGGATCGGTTGGTTTGGAAGGAAAGGTTTATGTGTTTTAGATGAAGTTTCTAGGTGAGATTGAAGACATCACCTGTTTTGATGCTACAGGAAGCTTTTTATGTCTGCGTGTAGAAGACAGCCTTCAGGGAAGCCCACGAAGGGACCATATTGCTAAGCCGTTTGAGTTTCCAGATTCGTGTTTGGGAAACAAAGGCAAAAACCACCGGAAAAGAGGGCGAGAACTGAGTAGGACACTCATTAAGTGGGCCTCTTCCTTAGTGCTCCTCCTCCAGGTAGAAAGAAAGCGTGTGAGGTGGCGTTCGTGGGTGAAGAGGAGGAAGGTTGTGTCTGCTTGATTGTCTAGGGGAAGACAGGCCTCTGACAGGCGGAGGAGGGCTCGGTCACACCCGGTGCTGGCATCAGCGGTCCCCCACAGGTTATTTAGGTGCGTGAGTCACAGCCAGAGCAACAGCGAGATACAGTACAATGCGAACAGTCATGTCCCTGGGTGAACGTACTGTGGGTTCTTCTACTTCCGTTGTTTATTCTCATCTCTCTCCAAATTTTATGCAGTTCCCATATACTATTCTAAGAGTTATTAAAGCATAAACCGAGATGTAAAAGAAAACCAAAACTCAAGAGGCTTTTAAACAGCCTTTAGGGCAAGTGCTTTTCCTGTCATATAATTTTTAGTGAAATGATACTACACTTTCTAAGTTCAAAATTAGTTTATTAGCAATGTTAAAGTTTACCCGTTGGTATATATAAGAGAATTCACACACACACACACACACACACACACACACACAAATTAGGAAAAATTTTCTTAAGGAGAATTTGGCCAATGAAAAGGGAAAATGAATTTATAATTCATTCAGAGAGCTTATAGTGTTTCTGAAGTATTTTATTATTTGATTCATCCTTTAATAATTTTTTCCCTACCTTATGCAACAAAGAAATTAAGATACATGTTATAGATACATATTCGGTTGTCAGGAAAGTCATGACACATTTTTGCATAGAAAACGTATGTCATGACTTTTCTGATAATCCAATATATTAGAGGTAATTAAAATAAATTTAAATAAGAATTAAGGGGCAAAGATAATAAAGGAAAATAAGATGAAGCTGAGTTTAAGTTTTCACAAAAAATACATGTACGAGTTAACTTTGGCAAAGGAAGAGCAAGCGTGGTCCAGCTGCTCTGCTGCTGCTCTGGGTAGGTGTAGGATGGGTTCTTTTAGTTTTCTTCTTTATTCTCTTCTGTATTTTCCAAATTTTATTCCATGATCATTCATTATTCTCTTCTATATTTTCCAAATTTTATTCCATGATCATTCATTCTTATAATTATTAAACAAAATATAAACAAGTGTCATATACAAGAGAACTAAGTTTCAAGAAGCTTTTCAGTATCTGCTTCTTCAGAATCACGTAAAATGCTACTTTACACATGGCTTCATAATGAATGAAGAATCACATGTGCTATGATTTTATGCACCTTCATTCGTTTCAGTAGGATTTTTGAGGGAATTTACATGTTGGATAAAAATAATATATGTACCCACGTGAATTGAAAACTTGTATCCACTTGCATATTAACCTGCTTAGAATCTTTATAGCAACTTTATTCATAACTGCCAAGGCTCAGAAATAACTAAGATGTCCTTCAGCTGGTGAATAGACATACCACTGCCTAGGTATGATGGAATAGTATTCAGCACTAAAAAAAAAAGAAAATGGAAGTGAGCTACCAAGACAGGAAGTAACCCTAAATGCATATCACAAGTTGAGTGTCCCTCATCTGAAATGCTTTGTACCAGAAGTGTTTCAAGTTTCAGATATTTTTTAAATTTTGGAACATTTGTATATACCTAATGAGGCATCTTGGAGATGGGGCCCAGACCTAAACACGTACCCAGGGGGCCCTCTCTTGAAGGATTGAGCTAGATTTCACATACCGTCTCTTTACGGAACACCTGAAGCTCTGAGAGAGACACCTCTGGAGTCTCGCCTCCTGGAGTATCCTTTGTCATGAGCCCTGTCCTCAGTGTCTCCTCAAACATGTCCTCTGAGCTCGAGTTGAACTCCTCTTGCTCAGTCTGGACCTCACGAGGCCTCTCGGGAGGGCTACCAGATGTTTTAACGTATGAGATGATCCATTTCTCCTGCCATCCCATCCCGCATGTAATGGCTACAGTTGACTCCAGTCTAAGCATGACGTTCCTCTCCCGAAAAACCCTCCCATTGTCTTCAGAGTAAAGTCTGCGCTGCTTGACGTGGTACTCCTCCTGTGGCACCACCAGACGCCTGTGGTTGCCTCACTTTGTGGCTATGTCTCATTCTCTTCTCTTTTCCTTCCAGTTCCTCTGCTTAGCAGGTCCTAAAACCAACTCCAGTATCACCTCTGTGAAGGCTGCCTGTCTCCCCAGGGTATTATAATGCCAGATAAATTAGAGAAAAGTAGTAACGAGTATTTGCTCCCTGTTCTCTTCCTTTCCCTGCCTTTGATTTTAGACTGATGATTGCACAGGAAGCCCACAGATGTTCACAGACAAGAATGGGAAAAACAAAAAAATATGTCTATGGGTACAGAACATTGTGCAAGAGCAGAGCCTTGACCTGCTTTCTAGCGAAAACCCAGATAAAATAGTCACAGTGCATTTAAAACAGAGGCTAGAGAAGTTTCTGTTGCTCTTCGTTGGAATGAGGGGGAAGTTTCTCATTCTTTCCATGCCATTCTTACTTCAAAACCCAAGCACTAGGGTAGTAGAAGAGTTGGTGTATACAGTGAGTCAGGTCCAGGTTCCAGTGGCATGCTCCAGATTGCAGACCCACAGTCAGCTCCTTGGTCAGATATTCTCAGGAAGGAGCAGAGTAGAACTACCTATTCGTATTGTTTTAGAAAAGAGGATATGACTAGAGTGAAAACCAAAAGCTTTGATGAGGATCTGTCTAAAACATGCCAAGACCTAAGCAGTCCCATCAATGGTGGAATATGTGTGTGTCTGAGGGTGGGAGGAGAGAGAGAGAAGACATCCCAAGTGCTTGGTCACACTCTCCAAATACTTGTGTGTGTGTAAGATGCTGAACTAGACTTCCATTGCCCTTTCAGTATAATGAGCAGGTGAGTTAGGGTTGTTAATTTTCAAATATTATCAAAACATGGATCTTTTTTTTTCAGACAGTCTCAGGTAGCTCTTCAGTTAGGGACAAGACCTCTGCACCTCTGCCACCATCACACACATGCATGCCCATGCACACACGAGCCTGGCACAACCCTGAAGGCAGTTAGAATTGGAACTCCTGCGATTTGAGCGGGAAATACGGGCCCTTTCCACCATTCACAGAGCTTTCCTGGCGACCCCGCCGTTGTGGAGGCTCTGGCTACTTGGCCTCACACCAGCAGTATCAGCACCATCCAGCAGCACGGAAGAAGCTGTGTGTAAGCCTGCTCCAGACCTTCAGAGTAACGGTCCTGAGGTGGAGTCCAGCCATCTGCGTTTCAAATGCAACGCTCTAGGTGATGGTTAGGCACAGTACTCGCATTTAAACCACTGGCCTTTGAGTACACGCAATTTTCAACCAAGATTTTTAAATGGCAGAGGTGAGACAGCGGAAGCTAGGAGGTGGGAGGCATTCCACGTACAACACTTGACTGAAGTTGAAGCTTGGTCCATGTGTTACCTCTGGAGTGATAAGCGTAGACCGGTGGTGGGAGATTCCCTCCGTATGGCTAACACGTGGGTCATAACTTATGTGAAGGCCTCTAGAACTTCGAGTGCCACGTGAGAAAAAATTGGGACAAAATGGTAAGAATTCCAAATATAGCAGAAAATGAACATAACAGCATACTTTTGGCACTTGACCTTTGGAATTGTTGACAATCCAAAGATTCAGTCACACGTTAGATCAAATTCCACCACGTGGAGTCATAGCTTATGACTGCGATGCTGAACGCCAATGATGAGGACATACCTCTTGCTTCCCTCCTTCAGAGGTCACAAGTTGCCTTCTGACTTCAGCTGTATTCTTTATCATCGAGTCTTTGAATTCTAGTTTTTTCTCTCAGGTGGACCTTTTTTCTCTTGTTCTTTCTTGCTGTCACTTCTCAGAAGCCAGAACTATTCAGCATCATTCCCCCAAAATTAGTGTGAACACTCATTGGGTCACAAGTAGAGAGGTGCCGCTCTCTGACTTGGGGCAGCCGCTTTCCCTGAAGTCATGAATGTTTGGGGGCCCATGGAGCCTGGCCTTCAGCTGGCATGGGTCCTGGGAGGGTGCGGCCGTGCCCACTCAGGCAGGCTGGCTGTGGTCCCTGTGCAGCGATGTGCCAGATGCTAATAAGGTCTAGCGTGTTGGGGGTCAAGGCAGATTTTCTTTTGGAATCTCCATTGGGCTTGACTCCCTGTAAGGGATCAGGC